GAAAAACCATTTCATAAGCTTCTATTTGAACTTAAAATTTTAACAATCCTTTTATAATCTTTCAATGAGCTAATCTTTGGAATATAATCATCTTAGTTTTCTCTTTTTAGAATTTTAGGTAGAAAAATTCCCACAACTCATGCTCTCTCTTTACCCATCTCTCTTACCCTTATCGGAACATCGCCTCTAGTGGTTCTCACCTTATGTCAGGTCTTAAGAGATATTGTCGCTACCTTCGCGGGAATAATTGCCAAGGCTTGTTAGTGGGATGTGGCGCACCCATTGTGGATCTTGTTGCTTCGTGGCAGAGAATCACCTCTGTAGTTTCTTCCTACTTAAGCTTTAAGGAAGGGTTTTTTGGAGATTTCCTTAGGGGGAGAAGGACCTCTGTTTGCTCATCCTAGAGTAAATACTCAAGTCAAGAGATAGATCTTTGTAATGCTCGTCCCTAAGGAGAGGTTTGGAGAGTTATTTTTATTTTTCTTTTGGAATGCTCTCATGGACGAGAGGCCTAAAGAGAAAAAAATTATTTCTACTCATGAATAGAAAGAGTGGGAAGAGATTATTATATTTTCTTTCTTCCTCCCTTTTACTATTTTTGTTTTCTTCTTTAATGAAAAATAAAAATAAAGTAAGAGAGTGTGCTTATCTTTTTATTGTTCTCCTATACGCGACCTTGCTTTTGGAAAATGAGAGGAGTTTTTTCTCTCGTTGCTTTCCTCCTTTTCTTATCTTTTCCTCCTTTTTAATGTTTGCCTTTTCAACTTTTTACTTTTTATCTTCACTTTTTGCTTTTTGTCATTTTTTTTTGGCCTGTCACATTTACTTTATGTCTTGTCATTTTTTATTTCCATCTTTTTCTTCGCTTTTGTTCTTGTTCTTCTTTTTTTTGTTTCTTGTTTTGATTTTTTATTTCTTTGCCTTGGTCCTTCTCCTACATAGAAAACTTTTTGTCTTATTGGTTGCACGTTCCACGCTCATCGTACATTTTAGGATGTTGAATATAAATATGTCCTTTAGACTGTGCCTAAGGGATAGAGTCAGATTCCAGAGGAAAGAGAAAGAGAGGGAGATAAAGAGAGAGAGAGAGAGAGGGTTGACTCGTCGGGTAGTAAAGTGAGGTGGTTACCAAGCTTGGTGATCTCTTTTATTCCACACAAATGATGTTAGAATATGGGAATAAAGGTGACCAAACTCCTTACATGAAGGGGGAGAGCTCAAAGGGGCCCTTTTACATCTAATAGGTCCTCTACTTATAAAAAGAAGAGAGTAAGGAGAAGAAATTACATATATGCCCCTATTTAAAGGGTAGCAGCTAGGGGTAATTTGATCCATATATATCTTAACTAAAGTCGGTGGCTGATTTAGGTGGATGATCGTCGAGGGTTGGTTGATCGATTCAACATCAAACAGTCGGTTGGGTAGCTGACTAGCAAGGTGGCTAGCACAAGTGGCCAACTAGTTCAACATTAGGCGATCGACTGGGTGGTCGGTCGACAGAGGTGGTCAACCCAAGTGGCCTCTCAATTCTTCTTCAAATGACAGGTTGGATGGCTAGTTGGCAGGGTTGTGGCCGACCGAAGTGGCCAAACGATTCTTCTTAAGAAGACTGACTGGGTGGTTGATCGGTTCAACATCAAGTGGTTGGCCGACAATGGTTGACTGATCCAAATGAGGCCAGCCCAAAGTGGTTGGCGGGTTTAGCATCAAGTACTCGGCTAGTGAGGTTGGTCAGTCGAGGTGGCCGGCTAACTAGATGGAGGCAATTTTTGTAAATGTTGGTGACAACTCAACGACAATGTTTTCGGCGGTGGAGGCTCCATTGGTTCGACTAGATGGCTTAAATTTTTTTGAGAAAAAAACCTACTTTTGGGCTATACATGAAACCCTCCTATTTTGCACTTCTTGGAGTCGAAACTGCGATAAGAATGGAAAACTAAAAAAAATTCAAAAAACATCACTCCATAGACTTTTAGTTTAGACATCATTTTCTTGAATTGCTTATTTATAATCTTTTGGCGAGTCAATCTTTGGAGAATATAATCAATTAAGCCTTTTCTTTTTGGATTTTTAGGTAGAAAAATTTCTCAACTCAAGTTCACTCCCTACCCATCTCTTTCGCCCTTGTCAGAACATCACTTCCAACAGGCCTCACCTTACGCTATGTCTTAGGTGGAATTGGCATTGCCTTCGCAGGGGTAACAACTGATAGTTGCTAGTGGGATAATTTATCGTGGCAGATCTTATCACTTCTGTTACGGAACCACCTGCATAGCTTTTTTTCGAGTTGATCTCATCTAATGTCTGAATGCTCCCTCCTTAAAGAGAGTAAAATCAAGTGTGTATTTGACATTTAAGCATTGCAGTAAAATCTGACAAAGGAGAGCATCAAAAGCTCATTGTTTGTGCATAATGGTTTTGAAGTGTTCCACATGCTCGTAGGGGTTGGAAGTCCCATTATAAGCAACAACGCTTGGAGGGTTAAACCCCATTGGATTAGGATGTTGATGAAAAATCTCAGCTAGCGAAGAAGACTTCTGAAATCCATGTCGAGCTGATAAATAACTTATATCGCTCATATGGAACTCCTCACAAGCTAGACGTCGTAACTCATCACGAATTGCTTGAGGTTGAGCTACATTCTCCATAGCTTAACTACGGATGGGGGATGTGTAGAACTAGCAGTATTCATGAGTTCAACCTCTTGAATTGGAGTTTCCATATGCAAAGAGGGTGCTAAGTACGTTTCATCAGAGGATTTTGATGTAGATATGTCCTCTTAAATGCATGATCGTCGATTGTTGAACTTCCCTTATAAGTTGATGAATCTCATTACGAGATTCCTCTATTCTTCGTACATGATCTTCAAGTGATGTAGGGCAGGCTTCCTCACCAACATAATCATATGTTTAATTGGAAAACATACTAAAGACCTGGAATGATGATTGCTAGAATGTGAAGCTCTTGTATTACACATGTTAGCCATCAAAGAAGTGCATACTTCTATCACCGGGACTTCATTCCCACAAACGGTGTCAAACTGTTGCATACCGAAAAATTCACATTGATAGAGTAATAATTTAACTTCTTAGCGTCATATGAATTTCAATACACCCGTGGATAATAAAAATAAAGGAGAAAACATATTTTTTTACCTGAAAATTTTCAAAAAAAAAAGGAAAAATCACTTCTTAGCGTCATATGAATTTCAATACACCCGTGAATAATAAAAATAAAGGAGAAAACATATTTTTTTTACCTGAAAATTTTCAAAAAAAAAAAGGAAAAATATTTCAAAAAAAAAAGGAAAAATCAGGGGTTTAACAAAGTTAAAATCATATACTATAAATTCATAGAAAGAAAGATAAACTTTCATTCCACAATGGACAAATGCTAACAGCTTTATTCAATTAAAGATGAATTTTAATTTAAATTAGAATATTTCTTGCTTGAGATCCGCACCAAATTTTTTATTATTCATGCGAAATAGTACATTTATTTGATGACGCATCTGATGAATTTAACTGAATTTAATAGTACCAACAACTTTTTTGAATTTAATGAAATTTGAACTTAATTACCTCTGAACCTTCCGGCTTTATAAAATCCTACTTAACTTGAATCCTTGGCAGCCAAACACACTCCTTTGGCCCTTTCTGTTGCCATCAGCCTTAGCGAGCAAAAAGTGGATGCAAAGGGTAATCGGTTGATGTCGATAGAGCACGAACGCCAAAGCGGGCGGCTAATTTTTAAGGAAGGAGAAGGCTGGGCGGGCCATTGTCTAGCCGGCTAACTTCAAGTGAAGAAAGGAAATAGTATAGCTGTCTATGAGGATCTGGCTACCGCCGGTTAGAGAAGGAGGCGAAGAGGAGGAAGTGGACATAGAAGTTCCAGCCATTTTTTTTGTTGTCTGCCGCTTGAAAATATCCACCGGAATCTTCCTTTTTATTACTAATTATTGATGAATGATACAGACTCAAGTAACCAGCTCACAAAGTTCCCCCTGGCCATCAAGAACACAATTTTTTTTTAAAAGAAAATTAATTTAAGGATTCAGATTGTCGCCACGAGAACGTGGCGAGGTCTGTAAAACAAGAATTTAATATTTCTCGAGTGAGTCGAATTGTTCTTTCCAGTAAAAAAATTGTACTTCTTAGGCTCTGTTTAGTTAAGAGTGATTAAAAGAGATGAAACGAAAATTTGATTAAAGGAAATAGACTGAAATTTGTTTTAGTGAAAATTATTGTTTTTCTCTAGTTTGGTCAATGAGAGCAGATCACGTATCAAACATAATGATGATCTACAAAACTTTGTCTTTCCATTTCCATTAAAATTGACTAAAAAGTTACGGTTACAAAATTACTTTTTCTCCTGCGATATACAACTTCCGGAAAGTCGCTTTCCAGACTGCGACATTTATTGTAACCGAAGGAAAGTTTACCGTCTTTCTCAACCGAAACCTTAGCTGAGTTTGAACATTTATTATTAGATCAAAACCAAACAGTCGTATATTTATGAAAACTTAATTTGTATTTTCTTCGATTTCTTCAAGTAATATTTCGCCTTGGTAAGCCAAAACCAATTTCCCACAACAGCCTGTTTTGCTTCTGGCGCCTTAAGGTTTCCCTGCTGTCACGCAAAAAGCCAATTTTTCCACTACACGCTGCTGCTTCCATATCTATTGGTTTCCAGCAGAAGTTTTGCTTTTGCTTTTCTTTCTTCTCTCTTCCTGCTTCGCAGAAGCACACTTTTATCTGACACATACATACTGCTTAATTCTTATATAATTACACATTTAATATTTAAATTTTTATATTCACTACTACAATGGTATGTGTGACATTAAATCACTACTATATATATATATATATATATATATATGCCACTTTGGATAGATATATGTAATGATATTTTTTGTGATGTTAAGGATTTAATTATTATATGGATAATATTTAAATTTAGATATTTGATCTAAAACAGAAGAATTAAGTGGTCTGTATGTAGATCCCCTTGTTTCTTATAAAGCCCTGATAAGGGACCACTGTTTGTATTGAATCCCAACTCTCCTCTCTTCTTTTTAAAAGTTCTCTGGTTTGCTTTCTGAAGATCCTTTCTGTTTAGATCACATCCTTGCCTCTTCCAAGCTCTTTTCTTAGAAATTTTTTTGTGACTTCCCATATAAAACAGTAACAGTCCATCTTCTCTTCCCTACCTTGCTCGAACTCTCCCCTTCTACAAAGCTCTCAGCTTTTACTACCATGGGTCTAGGTGGAACTATAGAGTACTTCGCTGACTTATTTGGCAGCAGCCACAATCACAAGGAGAAGAAGAAACAGCTACAGACTGTGGAGCTCAAGGTGAGGATGGACTGTGAGGGTTGTGAGCTCAAGGTCAAGAAGGTTCTCTCTTCCATGAAAGGTTCGTACTTTCTGTTTGTCACCTCTGTCTTTTTACAAACCTGTTGTTTGATTTCTGATATATGGGATTTGCAGGGGTTAAGTCTGTAGACATAAACTTGAAGCAGCAGAAGGTAACTGTGACAGGGTATGTGGAACCAAACAAAGTGTTGAAGAAGGTTCAGTCCACTGGGAAGAAGGCTGAGCTGTGGCCCTATGTTCCCTACAACTTAGTTGTCGAACCCTATGCCGCTCAGGCTTACGACAAGAAGGCACCTCCTGGGTATGTGAGGAATTCAGAGGGCGTCACTGTCGCTAGACAGGAAAGTAAGCAGGAGGATCAGATTACCGATATGTTCAATGATGAAAATCCAAACGCTTGCTCTGTTATGTGAAGAAGGTTAAGAAAATGACTGCATGCTTTTGTGTGTTGTTCTGAAGAGTTTTTTGAGCTTCTTGTTCTTATGAGTTTGGTTGAGGATTTAAAGGTTAAGGGCAGTGTTTATGAATAGCCTGTGATATGCTATCAAAAGTTTGTTTTTTCAGTTTTTGGTTGGTGAATCACTGCTTTCCTTTTATTGATTGTTTGGGTTAAGAAAATGACTGCATGCTTTTTATGTGTTGTTCTGAAGAGTTTTTTTGAGTTTTTTGAGCTTCTTGTTCTTATGGGTTTGGTTGAGGATTTAAAGGTTAAGAGTAGTGTTTATAAATCGCCTGTGATATGTTATCAAAAGTTTCTTTTTTCAGTTTTTGTTGGTGAATCACTGCTTTCCTTTTATTGATTGTTTGTTTGTTAGTTAACTATTATTAGTTGTAGATGGTGGCTTAATTAATGAGTCATTAAGCTCTGTTTATTAATAGGTTTTGGAGATAAAACGCAGCCAAATGCGTGGGCAAATTGTATTTTGGTTAAAGTATGAAAAGTAAGCTGAACTTTAGGTTATTTTCCTCGTAACAAAGAACAAATTAAGGGAGACGTAAGAACTGAAACAGTTATTTGATCAAAGAGTAAGATCTAAGAAAACAGAAATCTTTTAGGGGATGTTTGGTGAGTTCTGGGACTGAACTACAACTGATATAGTAAATCCCAAGAAGAGTGAATGTCAGGCATTGTTTCTGAAGAGATTTGATAAATTTAATTGTTTGGTAATTTTTTCAGGATTTAAGTTCGTTATTTCAGATTAATTTTATTTTTATAACTTTTAATTATATAAAATATTATTTAATAAATTTTAAGTTAATTTTTTATTAAATATAATTTCTTAAACATTTACTCACTAATCAGTTATTTACTATTATTAATTAGTATAAGTTAATTACAATTAGTGTAATATAATCATTTGTATTATGTATTAATTTAAAACTTATAATTAATTAAAGATAAGAAAAGAGAGTTTTATAACGATTTTTTTTTTCTCTTTCAAACCTTTGTGTTGATATCATTCTAACTAACTTATGGAATATGATTTTGCATTTTACATAATAAAAATTTCTCTCTTGTGCAAGGCTTTTTTATTTGTCCATTCTAATTTTTTACACAAGATTCTCAGTTTTCATCTCTGCATTTGCATGACTAGATTTTCCAACCAAAAAAAAAAATAAAACTCATCTATTTATGCATTCAGATGTTTTCTTGATTTTTCACCTAAAAAATGGCCACTATTTATGCGTTTGTAACTTGTAGAGTTAAGATTATAGAAGATTGTTTTCGACATGCAACAATGAGCCATATAAGCTCCTTGGTGGCTTGTTACTACGAGCAATAAAGAACTCTACCCCATTTTCACTTGAACATAAAATTGGAAGGCATAATCTGCCTAGAATTTTGGCTCAATTGAGATACCTCATAATCTTATTCCTCATTTTTATAATAGTATCATAGATCACTAAATTCAAATTTGGTTTGCACAATAAGACTTCACAGAATAATAAGCTAATAGCTAGTATTGAAATGGTCAACACATCATCCACCGGATCTATATTGTGGGCTTTGAAATTTTGAAATGAGGTTCTGGGTTGGATTTTCAAAAGATATATGAGATAGTAAAATAATAAGCTAATAGCTAGTATTGAAATGGTCAACCCATCATCCATCGGATCTATATTGTGGGCTTTGAAATTTTGAAATGGCCTCGGCCTCCTTCGAGGAATGAGAAAATGAGGGAAGTTTGCCCATGAGGTTCCAAGTTGGATTTTCAAAAGATATATGAGATAGTAGATAAGATATCATCTAAAGTTTTCACCCTCAAATTA